TTTTTTTGAAGTGTCACATTGGTATAGCCCCTTAAACTTCAGACCCATATCAATAATTTTTTATTATGTCTGAAAACCCATTTTGAGTTCAAAAAAATAATAATTTGTGGCATAAAATTTTCAGCTTCCGCTGTCAGATATAACCAATATATAATATAACGATTGTATAACCAAAACTCAAACTTGCTTCGAATGTTAGTTTTTTCTCGCCTGTAAACTTATGAAAAGTGATCTATTTTATATTTTAGATGCCGATATACAGATTTTTTTCGAAACCTTTATGACAATTTTATAAGATATTCTCATTTAAACCACAATCGCACAATATATAAAGGAGCTGCTCCAAATTAAAACTCGAAATAGTCTTTCTTTCTATTTCGTAGCAATTCCCATTTTTATCATAATGGAAAGCATTTTCTTTCCACAGTTGCAGTTTTAAATACATCTAATAATATTTTTATATTTTAGTAAAGTCGAAGAGTCTTTAACCAAAACCAATTTTGATTGAAGTTTTGAATTGAAAAAATTACTTCATGATCTCCTATAAAATTGTTAAGAATTTTTAGTAAGCATTTAGACAATATAATACGCATAAAATTTAGTTAAAATTTCGAAATATAAGTTGCTAAAATTAAGTACTGAATATACCAAAATGGTTCAACTTCTTTTTGGAATACACTTCAAAATATTGTCAAAAAAGTCTTGCAGAATTTTCGCTAGTTGGCGCTGAAAGCGCGTAGTTCTAGTTTTATTCGTCGCATCAGGCCATGCTATACCTTTTTGGACAGCTCATTTCACGCGCTACCACTTTTTTGATCGATTGTCGTTTCTTTTAAGTCTTTCATAAGTTATAGCGTCGCAAACATGGAGCAAAATAAAGAGAAAATACGGCATATTTTACAGTACCACTACGATAAAGGCAAAAATGCATCTCAAGCCGCCAAAAAAAACTTGTGCAGTTTATGGACCCGATACATTTTCCATTTCCACCGCACAACGATGGTTTCAACGTTTTCGTTCTGGTGTAGAGATGGTCGAAGATGCGCCACGCTCCGGAAGGCCTGTCGTCGAAAATTGCGATCAAATCGCTGAATTGGTCAAAAGAGACCAGCATAGTAGCAGCCGTAGCATTGGTCAAGAGCTGGGCATGAGTCATCAAAAAAAATTTTATGAAAAATTGAAAATTCAATAAAAACACCGCAAGACTTTTTTCACAACCTATTATTCATTAAGTAGTCGAGGGCCAATGATTTCAAATATACCGATTTTTCTTCAAACATTCGCTTAGTAAGAATATTTGATAAAAATTTGCTTAATTATACTCTATTTCTAAGAACTATTCTTAACGTTTGGTTGACGTTTTGAAATACCTTTTTACCGTTCAAAAACATTACAAACTCAGTTATATCCGTTGCAAGCGGGCAAAGTGAAAGCGGATATGTGAAGCTTGCTGCTAAAAATACTACGTTTTTCCCATGTACATTTTATTTGCACATTACAAGTCTATATGCGTCACTAAAAATCTATCAAGCATAAAAATTTGTAAGATTCTATATATAATACATATGTACATACAATATTTATAAAATAAAGTAGAAAAAGGTCGCATCATTACATTCCATCCATGTTCGATTTCATTGCATACTTTTCTGCGCGAGAGCCGTTGGCTTGTTTAACGCTCATTAGTATGCTAGTCAGTCGTTTGGTTTGATCTATTTGCCATCATAGTCAATTCACAGAGCATAAATAATACTATTCGCAGTTATTTTCTATATCAAGACAACTTCTAGATGAAAAAAAAAAACACCCACACTTCGGTATGTTTTCCTGATTTTACAGTCGCAATCAAGTACAAATGATAGATGTAAATATTTATAAAATGTAATTCCTACACGCTTTTACCATTTACAAATGGCATTCGTTTCGCTAAATGATTCATTCCTACTTTCAAGCATCCACACAGTCACAACAACATGCCCCAATTTATTCTTCATTTATTTTGCAATAAAATTGCCATTTATTCATGCTCGCTTCCGCACAGTGCCTCTCCTCCTACTCTTATCAGCAGTTTAGATGTAGCCTTATTCGCTACTCCACCTTGACCGACCATTACTTTCACTTTTAATGCCTTTCAAGTTTCAATAAGCATTGTATGAACACATTGTAGCTGAATGCTGCCTACTCACACATAGATTTGTTCAAGTTACACAGTCATGACCATCTGTCAAGCGCCATTAAACTCAAAACTGTCAAATGTCAAGCAGCGCAACAGCAGCAATGCTTTTGGCCGAAAATGTTTTGCAAACAAAAAGAAGCATTAGTGCTATAGGCAACAGCATTTATGCGTTGGTTGGCAGAAGCTATTGAAAGGCTCGGCTAGCTGCAAGGGAAATATGACAACTAGAAAGATTATGTAAGTCAAAGTACAGTGGGTTGAAGGTTGATTAATAGAAAAATTCTTTGAAGGATATAAGAAACGCATACCACCTGAATAATACTAACTAAGCAAAGTATTTCTTAGCATATGGTGTGTGTCTTAGCTGTAAATAGTTTTTAGCAGAGTCACACACCTATTAAATTAATATTAGAGTAATTATATGATAACAAAACCCTGTAAATTCTCGTAAACAAAATTGGACTTTAATTGGCAATCGACATCGATTTTTTAAATAAAATTCAAAAAACTGCCCAAAATTTGATTTCTAGACTAGAATATCCCCTTAAATATTTAAAATTTCAGTTTTTGTTGATACAAATGTATGTATGATAGAAAGAAAAAAATAAGCCCCAATACACGTACGATGGTTTTAAAACGATGAAAGAATAGTCTAGTAAAAATGTGTCCACATCTAGAACTATTTCGGAGCATAAATTCTAATTTATTATCACAACTTCTCGACAGTTGATTTTATATAATAGAGATGATTTGGGAAACTTAGCAAAAAATACTTAATTGAGCCCAATTGATTTGAGAAATTATGCAATTTTCGTAATAAATATTGATTCAAGTACTTTATAATTGGTTGCATTATTCTTTTTATTGGGTATCATTATTCTTTGTTTCTTACTATTAAGTAAAAAT